TGAAGGCACAACCAATTGATGGCAACATTTGGAGAAGGTGGGATGCTTGAGAGACGACAGGCCAAATTCCAGTCTATTTGGATTGTGGCCCGTGAGTTGAGTGAAGGGTCCCAATCTTTTCAAATCGGAAAACCATGGGAAGAGGGGCGGTTGTAGGGCGTCGGTAAGAAGTTAAAGTTTCTAATATTTTTCATGTGGGAAGAATTCAATCCCATTTAGCTCAATCAAACTTATTTTATATTAGGTTAATCTGCGAGAACCATAGTAGGCATGGAAAATATCTTGTCTTTTTTCCCTTGAGGTGGCAGCCTTGACTTTTCTTCGTTGTTTCTGATAATAACATGCCTAAGAGCTAATTTATGAGTTGGTAGGAACCTAATTTTCTCAAATTGGACATAACCACTTTGCAGTTATTCCCACTGCTGCTTGCCCCGGAAGTGGGTGGGTGAGGATATGCACCATTTATTGGGTGCAAGTCATGTAGAGCATACACAACATTTAGAGTTGGTGCGATGTTTGAAAGATGATGGACCAAATTCGAGCCCATTTGGATTGTGGCCCGTGAGTTGAGTGAAGGGTCCCAAACTTTTCAAATCCGAAAACCACGAGAAAGGGTTGTCGTAGGGTGTCGGTAAGAAATTAATATTCCTAATTTTTTTCATGTGGGAAGAATTCAATCCCATTTAGCTCATTCAAACTTATTATATATTAGCTTAATCTGCAAGAACAATAGTAGGCATGGAAAAATATCTTGCCCTTTGGTCCCTTCCGGTGGCAGCGTTGACTTTTCTTCGTTGTTTCCGATAATAACAAGGCTAAGAGCTAATTCATGATTTGGTAGGAACCTAATTTCCTCAAATTCGACATAACCACTTTGTGGTTATTCTGACAGCTGTTTGCCCGGGAGGTGGGTGGGTGAGGACGCGCACCATCTATTGGGTGCAAGTCATGTAGAGCAGACACGACATTTGAATGATGATGGGCGAAGTCAGAGGCCGTTGGATTATTCGGCCGCCGCACGAGTGAATGGCTCGAGTGTTTTCAAATGAAAAAAGCGCGCGAAAGGGGAAACGGTGAAGTTAGAGAAGCAATAGTTGAAAATGGTGAAAAATATCCCAAGTGTCCTTTACATGATCACAAAAGCCATAGTACATAAACTCTTTTTTTTTTGCAAAAACATAGAAGATAAAATTTACATTGAGTACATTAATGTAAGCCATATCTTTTCGCAAAAAAAAGAGAGTAAGCGATATCTGCCATATACGATGAAATCTGTTTACCAAATCTAGCTAGCACACACACTGTAGCATCATATATATGTAAATCACGTTTTTATGTCAAGGAATTATTATGATCGCACCACGTTTCAGGCTTTTCAGCTTAGGAATTAATTACTCCGATGCGGCGCTCACTCGGCCTGAATCCTGGCGGCGCACCCCGGAATCCCCCTGCAAACCGCAGAAAAAGGCACGCGCTTGCAACAAAAGGAGAAAGGTCCTCTCGCCGTTACACTCAACTGTATCCCTCTCGCAGTCTCGCTCCTCCTCCTCGCCCCATCGCCGAGACGCCCCACGCTCCCACAGATTCGCCACCACCACCACCTCTCCTCCTCCTCCGCGACCTGGTAAGCTCACCCTCCGAAGCATCTCGCCGTCGTGAAGAACACCACGTCCGCGCAGTCCTCTCCTCGCTAACGATACTGTCCCGCCAGGACGGGTTGTCCCGTTCCCTACCTTTGTCGAATTTTTTGTCTCTGGCGGAGGGGCTGTTTCAGATCTGCGGCGTCCTCCTTCCTAGTACTCGCTGGTTCGGCCCTGATGGCTTTTGGTTGGTTCTCGCATCTTGGTGCTCTCGTTTGGTTCTTGAGTAGGCTTCCTGATCTGGGTTTTTGCTCCCACTAACCAGCTTGCGTTGATCCAAGATCTAGGCAGTCCGCCATATCTCAGTTCATGTTCCCACCCCTTCTCCCAGCAATCTCGCTCAGATCTCATTTCTTCCTCTAGTTTTGTTTGAGCTGCAAGTTCTTTCTTCTCAGGTCAGGGAAAGCTTGCACATGTGTCTTCATCTCGGTGTATTTTTTTTCCTTCAAATTTTATCGTGATCGCTGGGTTTTATATTTCCATACCTTTGATACAGATGTACTCCTTTATGGTGATCTTGCCATATATATTGGCAATTTATTACCTCGTAATAAATGTTGATTACCTGGATTTTTTTTCATGGTATAGGAAAGCACTTTCATACTGTTAATATAAGTCGCCATGAAATTCTGAATATGCTATTTGAAGCCTTCAACTGTGTGGATTAAGCAAATAATTTTACCACACAGGGTAATTTATCATTGTTCCTGAAACAGGTGGACATACAACTTGCATGGTCGGTCCTGGATCGGAAGGATCAGGGATGGAAGAGTGCAGTGAGGACAGATGTTGGGAGGACCTAGCACGAGATGCCCTAGGCCTCATCTTCTGCAAACTGTCCCTTCAGGAGATCCTCACTGTGGTTCCGGGGGTTTGCAAACCCTGGAGCCGGGTAGTTTCAGGGGCCGACTGCTGGCAGGACATCGACATTCAGGAGTGGAGCCAGCAGAGCGAGCCTGACAAGATCACCAGGATGGTTCATATGCTCCTCTCTCACAGCGCTGGCTCGTGCCACCGCCTTAGTGTGTCCAGGCTTCCAAACGACTCATTGTTCGCCTTCATCGCGGACCAGTAAGTAGTCTTCTTTAGTCAAAATCATTTTTATGTTGGTGATGCTTTCCTCATGAGATTTGATGACCTGGATGGGAACAATGTGTATTTTTATTATTTTTATTGTTAGTGGTGAACCATTAGCCAGAGGAAATGTGCACGTCGCTGGAGTAATTCTTCCGATTGTGTACCATCCTTGCAAAATGCATAGAAACTTTCATTGGAAAAAAATGGTTTAGATTGCCACAGGAGTAGTGGCTGTGGCAGGGGAAATATGATGGATGTGTAATTTCATTATATTGGAGCTGGATCAGTGAGGCGGTTAGGGATGAGGGGGGTGAGGGTGATGGCGAGGAGGGGCGAGAACTGAGAAGGTGGCGGCCACGGAAGACGAAACGGTGCGAGGGGGTAGTAGGGTTTTAGCGCCGAAAGTAAGAAAATGGGCGGCGGAGATGGGCTAGGGAACACGATCTGACATTCGAGGCTCCAAATATGTGAGAAACACCGGACACGAATGTTAATGCGTCTATTGATTAGAGAGACATGTGCTAATGAACAAAAACAAGTACGTTATGTGTAACATAATTGATTCCAAAATTACTTGCCTTGCTGTTGTATTTGTCTTTACACAATAATGTCCTCTATTACCGCTGAATCCAATCATTTATAAACAATTGTGCATATATTTTGGCAATTATTTTTATAAATGCATGTAAATTATTCATTCAATTGCTTAAATACAAATGGGGTAGTATCATTCCAGTGTGTTAATCTATACATAGATGGTTTTAGATGGTCTACTGAAGTAGCATTTAATTGAGTACGCCGTGTCCATTTTGATTTTGTTTTTGTCACGACCCTACTAGAACAAGGGTTATGCATCACATATATGGTACTTTGTTTACCGATGACCCGATCCACAATATATTGTTAAACCTTACTTATCCTACCGTGTTTTATTTTGCAAGTGCGCAATCTCTCAAGACTTTGGAGATTCCAAGGAGCGAGATCGGTGATGGCATAGTGGAAGATGTCGCACAAAGACTAACCAAAGTTACATTCCTGGATGTAAGCAGCTGCACCAAGATTGGCGCTCGTGCTCTGGAGGCATTCGGTAAGAATTGCAAATCCCTCGTCAGACTTCGGCGAGTCATGCACCCCATGGATGCTGCAGGGAAGGTGTGCCACCATGATGAGGCCCGTGCTATTGCCTATAACATGCCAAAGCTCAGTCACCTCGATCTAGGAGATACTTGCTCATCGCGACTACGGATGTCGTGGAGATCGCCTCGCGGTGCCAAGACCTCAAATTCTTAGATCTGCGTGGCTGTTGGGACGTTGATGATAAGATTTTGCAAGAGAAGTATCCTGGGCTGAAAATCATCGGCCCCTGCGTGGACGACTGCTTTGGGAACAACTTCTGGGATGAATGCTCGGATGATGACTCCATTTATTCATGGGAAGAGTTCATGGACAATGACTACTTCGCCATCGGGAGTGACGATGAGGCCATATGGGACGACGATCACGTTCTCGAAGGACTAGAAGTTAGGTTCTATGGTGGTGTATTCGGCGAAGGCTTCGCAGGTCTTGACTGGCCAGAATCTCCATGAAGGGAGTCTGCATTAATAATTTGTTGAGAGAAATGAAGTGCCTGCTTGCTCCTGCTCCTGTTTATATGTTTCAACTGTGAAGCATCTTCTTCCATCTTATGTGCTCCTAATTGTCAAATTGTGTGGTCATTACCTTGCAGATATTGTTTGGTTGTTGAGTGAACTTGTCTGGGTGTAAAAACCTATATATGGTGCTTAAACATACAACAACAAATCAATATTATGATTGTTGAGAAACGTGTTACATGTAGTTTTCTATTTTGTTTCAGAAGTTCTAGATTAATCATTGGTGTAAATCATCTTTGGAAAAGTCGGTACATCCCACTAGTGGTCAGGCATGGGATGAAGCGTCTTTGAATGTGCAGGGGAGTGGCTTACTGGGGAAGCTTCGTATGATGTATTAGAGCTTGCATAACTAGGATTAATGAGTAGTTAAAAACCCAAAGAAGAAGCTTAAACAGGTACAGAAAGAGCTTGCATATGTGATTTTTTTTATTTGAACAGGAGCTTGCATATGTGATGGAACGGCCTATGACTAATAATGAAACTGACATGAAAACGATGGAACTAGGAGACTTGATTGAACACCTATTGGAATGGTATATGCTCCAACGAGCTATGGTGGACTGGTTACGTAACGGCGACGGCAATTCAATAAAAATTCCAACAATTTCCCTTGGCCAGAAATAACTTGACCTGATGAAATGACTTAAAGATGACCAGAGGGAGTGGCTGGAAGGTACGGACATGTCAAACCCAATGATCGGAAATTATTTTGCTCAGTCTTTCTCTTCCGAAGTTACCAATACAGATCTTGGATTTCTTGAAAAAATTCTCCTGAGAGTTTATAAATAAATGAATGAACAACTGCTTCCTTTACGGACGATAAAGTGAAGCACACTATTTTCAGTATTGTCAATATCAAGGCCAAAGACCCCGACGGTTTGCATGCAATTTTCTAAAAAAAAAAAATACTAGGAAGTCCCGGAGGCGATAAACTTGAGGAAGATAACGGAGGGGTGGAATGACACCACAGTAGTATTAATTCGCAAGATGCTTGCTAAAAATCTAAAGATAATTTTACCAGAGATTATTTCACCAACCAAAAGCTCCTTTATCCCTGGAGACTTATAACAGACAATGTGCTTATTGCCTAAGAGTGCATCCACAAGATAAAACATAAGAGAAAGGGAAGAAGATTTATGTGCAGACAAGCTAGATATGCGCAAGGCATACGACAAAGTGTAGTGGTTTTTCTTGAGGAATATTATGTTAAGGTTGGGATTCCGGGAGAACAGGGTATTTTTTATGATGACATCAGTACAATATAGAATATAGTATCAAGTATAATTCTCTGGAAGCTGATAACTTCCAACCTACCAGGGGCCCGGGACAACGGGATCAATTGTCTCCTTATTTAATTTAATTGTGCGCACAAGGGCTTTCTAGTTCATTTATGCATGGGGAAGAAATTGGTGACATAG